CAACAGCAGAAACTAATTAGCATATTAGGCCACACCCCATGCCTTCCTTTGTCTTGCCTGGGTGCACCGAGGCTACAGGGAGCCCGGGCAAGCTCCACACTGAACGAAAGGGAAGGCAGTTTAGAGGTAAAGATTTATTCACGGCAAAAAGCCAGGATTCTAATACAACAGTCGAATGAAGGCAGTTTAAACTGCCTTCTCTTGGCTTGTCCAGGCACCCTGTGGCTGTGGGAAGCCTGGGCAAGCTGGCCCTTGGACAGGCTTGGGAAGGCACAGGGAGGCATTTCAATGCCTTCCCGTTCCTTCCAGGGGGTCCCTGGCCCACCTGCCTCAGATGCGCCTGGGGGCGGGGTCGCTCTCCAGGCCTTCCCTCTGTAGCCACACACACAGAGGTTTTGGCTGTAGTGGGCATGGCCAACTCTGAAGCCAGCCGGAACTCTGTTCCTGTGCATTCCTGTCCAAAAAGAGCCCTGGCTGAAAGCACCTGGGAGGTGCAAGATCTCTCTTTCTCGACCTCTGGAGCACCATATCGGCCACTCAGTAGGAGTGCCTTTTTGCCTCTTCCTGTGCTCTGCTTGTAAAGGAACACATGCACACCACTCTGCATCTACTGCATGGGGGATTATGCGAACATGAACACATAAAGCTGCCTTATACTGAATCAGACCACTGGTCCATCAAGGTCAGTACTGTCTACTGAACCTGGGGCAGCTTTCCAGGGTCTCAGGTGGATAGGGCTGCCAAGTTGCCCCGAATCTGCTGGTCTGGATCCGGCCGGCGGTGGGAACTCCACCCCTGAAGTGGCCAGATTGGGCCGACATGCCCGGCATGATGACATAGCCCGGAAAAAGCACAGCAGGAACTCATTAGCATAATAGGACACACCCAACAGCAGAAACTCATTAGCATATTAGACCACACCCCTGACAGCATAGCTCATTAGCATATTAGGCCATACCCCCATGCCTTCCCTTGGCTTGCCTGGGCCCCAAGCCAGCCCTTGGACAAGCCGGGGAAGGCATGGGGAGGCATTTAAATGCCTCCCTGATCCTTCCAGGAGCCCCCTTGGCCCACCCGCCTCAGTCGCCGGGGGGGTCGCTCTTCAGGCCTTCCCTCTGTAGCCATGCACGCAGAGGTTTTGGTTGTAGTGTGTGTGGCCAACTCTGAAGCCAGCCGGAACTCCGTTCCTGTGCATTGCTGCCCAAAAATAGCCCTGCCCGGAAGTGATGTTATCACGCTGGGCACGTCGCCGGGCGACGCTCTGGCAATCGGCCTGAAAACTCTATGGTACCATGTCTCAGCCAGGGACCCAAACTCCCCCGCTAAACAAAGGTAAGCACTTGGCAACCCTACAGGTAGAGGTCTTTCCCATCACCTACCACCTGGTCCTTTCAGCTGGAGATCGCTGGGGAGCCACTGTTCCTCCCCATATAAAGCACATACTACAAAAAGGGCACAAGTCTCCTGTGCTCTCTTCCACAGAAGAAACAACAGTATATTTATTATTGTTTAAACAGAACAAAGATATTTCATTCTTTAAATATTTGAGATCATCTTTCTCCCACGACTAGATCCAAGGTACCTTACAAAATAATCAATCAACAAAGGAATTCAATGACCCCCATAAAATGTACAATGTACCGACACAATACAAATGGAAGAGGAGCTGAAAATCAGACAAGGAGCAACATAACAGCCAGATTATCATCCAGAAAACAAAGAGGAGGGAACGCACCCTCCAAGCCTGAGCAGAGAGGCCCAGCTTTGCCTGAGGCCTAAAGGATAACAATAGGAAATCAGGTGGATCTCCAGTGGTGAGGTAGGAGTTCTATGTACAGGGTACATTTGCAAAAAAAACCAAACCCTTCTACCTAGTTTCCACCCACCTGATCTCTGAAGGTACAGGAACTCAAGGAAGGGTCTCCCAAAAGATGACCTCAAAAGATTAATGTGCAACAGTAAAATCATGGTTTTAAAGTCTCCAGATTGACCAACTGAATGCTTTCCTCTCCCAAACCATCATGCTCATAAACTTCCACCAGAGAAAATAGATTTAACTAGTTTTGATTTAATGTGATGGATAATTTCAATGTGCTCATTTCTGACTACATTCTTAGTAAGGGCTAAATCATGTACTTTTTCTGAAGGTGTGTTTTGCCCCTAAGTAGACTCTTTTTCACACATGGCCTATAAATTACCAAAGAAATGAGTGCTGTTATGATCCTTTAAGAACTTGAGACCAGAAGATCATTTAACTTGAAGAAGAAGAAACGTAAATAAAGAAAAGTACACAAGATAGGAATCAGAAAGCATTGTCAAAAGTATCTTCTGAAGTGTTCCTGACTTACCAGGGAAGAATGATCATAGGAAATGAAATTAATAGTAGCAGAAATAAGTAATTCATGGATATGCAGTGCAATCCTAAAAAGAGTTAGTTCTTCTATCCATAAACTTCAGTGGACTTTGAAGGATGATAACTAGGATTGCATTGTTTGTCTCTGACACCAACACTTAGCATACATACTTAGGAGGTAAATGAGATTTACTTCTGAGCAAACATACATTGAATTGGGCTGCAAGATGTCAAGAATATTAGGTTGCTTCAAACAAATGACAATATAATTCTGACAGGGTATGAGCTTTCCTGACTCACAAAAGCTCATACCCTACCACAAATTTTGTTAGTCTTCATGGGGCTACTAGACTCTTGCTCTTTTTTTACTACTACAGACAAACACGGCTAACCATCTTAATATCATTCTGGTTCTTAAATTTATATATATAAATCTTCAAGAAAAATTAGCACTGAGCAAAAAAAAATGAGATGGATACCCCACTTTCAGTTGATTGGGTTACATCCTCCCAGCTCTTCCACAGGAGCAAGTGGGAGAAGACTCCATCCCTGAAATGCTCTTGGTGATCTTGGTAGGGTTGCCAAACCCAGTGGAGCCTGGAGATCTCCCAGAATTTCAACCGAACTCAGACTACAGAGATCAGTTTCCCTGGAGGAAATGGCTCCCCAAGCTCTGCCCTCCTCAGGTTCCACACCCAAAATCTCCTGGTATTCCCCAATCTGGAGTTGGCAACCCTAGATCATAGGACCCTGACAGCCCAAAACCACAAGGGGAAATCAGATGAGATTTTACTTCATCCGTGCATGAATGGAAGAAATGGTCAGATACAATCCATTAAATTGTAAGATACAGCCATATATCAGTCCATACTGTTGACTGCAGTTACATCTTCAGTGGGTAATACAGATTATATGAATTCCCATCAGGTGTGTCCAACTAACCAAGTGGCACAGGACTTTGTAGCAGAGGACTGGTATCAAGTCACCTTCAACTGCAATCCAGAGAAAATTAATATCTCTGCATTTCAGGATCCAAATTCATCTTTTGGTTTTATGGGTGGATATAATTTTCTGTGACATAAAAGCATTAATTTTACAGATTTCTGGATTTGAACTTTTGTATCCCAAAGCAGAATTCACAAAGGACTAATATATATATCTGAATGTGAGCAGATTGAAGTTCCAAATCTACACAGCAACTCTGGAACAAACTTTCAAAACTCTGAAATTCTCCCTGGATTTTTAAGGTACACCTCTGCAAGTGAAAATTCTTTGCACAAATGGAGCATCCATGTCTTAGAGACCAATCCTAAGCAGGTCTACTCAGAAGTAAGCCCCGCTTTATTCAATGTGGCTTACTCCCAGGAAAACGCTTCAAGGATTACAGCCTCACTTTAGTTTCATATTTCACACATATTTAAATACCACTAACAGTAATGAAGACCTTAATAAAATGTTATGTATACCATGCTGGTGCTATAAAAATACTATTTTTTAGAAAACAAACTAGTATAACTCCACATAATTCCTATATAAAGCTGGTTTCCCCCCCAGTTGGAAAAACTCTGTTCTTTCACCATTTAACCAGCTAAATCACATGAGTAGTAGCTGATCATACAAATAAATAAAGGCTTTATGGTACACTACTATGAGACTTTTGTTCCGGTGCCAAGGGAGGAGGATATCATAGTATGTTGCATGGACTTTAAATGCTATTGTGCATTAAAACTTGCTGAAAACCATGTCCTCACTGGGTCCACATATGAAAAAAGCACAAACCCACACTCCATACCTCTCTACAATCAAACCAAGCTACAGGCAAAAAACCCCCACCCTCTCTAATCGGCCTATACAAAACAGTTGTGAAGAGAGAGCTATTCAGTCTTTAGGCTTCAATGGGGGAGGAAAGGTTATCCTCTCAATCATCCGCTTTTAGACTATCTCCTGTTTAAACTGGTTTCCAAGCTATTTCTTCCACCTGCACTTCAATCACCAACAAAGCAGCTTGATTTTCTTTTAAAGATGTGTTCGTCCTCTGTATGTTTTTTATTTTTTTTTCCAACCCAGATTTCATTTGGTGTCCACTTTATACATACCTCCTTTTCTACAAATTTTCTTGCCGGGTTTTCTGGCACATTCCTTGGATATTCTTTTGACTGAAAAATGAATAGAAGACTAGAAAATAACATGGAGCTCCGTCACACATAGTAGGAGCATGCAATTCCACTAGCTAACTTCAAGATGGCCTCCTTTTTTTTTTTTTTTTTTGGTTAGGTGTGGAAGAGTCCCAACTGCGGTTTTTTGCCTACCCATGCAATGGTTCAAGATGTTGATGCATCTTTCCCAGAATTCAATGAGTGGGAATGAGAATTAGGTACCAACTTTGACCTAAAAATACACGTGCTGAAGGACAAAATAAATGCATCTAGACAAGAGAAGAAGGAAGGACGTAGAAGCTAAGAACCAAGGCATACATAGAAAAGCCACATGCATACATGTGAAAAAGAAAAGAAAAGAAAAGGGAGAGCTGGCATGCAGACAAGAAAGCCGTGCTGGCTACCAGTACACATGAATTAAGAGTAAAAAATTTCAAATAGGAATGTAAAAGAAAAGAAAATTCTCCTTGCTTTTCCTGCAAATCACTCACCATCTTCAGTCGGGACATATATATTTAAATACAGGCAGTCTTCGTTCTGATCTTGTACATAGGTTGAAACTATATCCAAGTTATTAGTAAACCAGACAGGAAGCATGACTTCAGGTAACCGGCCCTCTATAATGTTCTGGGGACACACCGGAGCAAACTGTGTAGCATTTTTGATATCTGGCCAGGGAGACGGTGGTTCAGGAGGTTGAAATCGACGCTCCCCGATGGGCGGGGCAGCATAAGGAACCCCAAGGAACTGGATGACTGGTCCCAAAATCTCATTGTTTAATTCCTTCTTCATCCCTCTGACTTTACCAAAGCTGGTCGTCACCACTGGGTCCGTATCATCCAATTTTTGCGACGACACGGCAGCGGCGTGAAGCAAGAAACCAAGTATGCAAAACGTGAATGTGGCATCCAAGCCCATGTGCAAGAGGCGGACTAGTATTGCTCTCCACACACAGTTCAGCCACATGGATCTTGGGAAGGCCATGGTCCCACATCAGTTGTCTCACGATGGCCCAAACAATTTTTATTTGTATCCACTTGATGGGGAGGGGAGGAGGGTGAACAAGAATTCTCTTCGAGGGGGCCAGGGAAATGAAATGGAACGAGACTCCAAAATGTGAGCCCGTCAGAACACTCGCAAATGGCTCTTCACACGACAAGCATCTTCCATCGATTTCATTCTCCTGGAGGCTGCGTCTTCACTCACCCCTACTTATCAGATGACACTCTATTGACAATACTGTTTTCCATAGTAGCAATCCGAAGAGAGCAGCCATTTACTGTAGATTCCCCACTTATAAATCAATTCCAGTTAGCTGCAGGTCTATATCCTGGAGAAAAATGAAAAACAAATCATTAGTATGAAAGAGCTAATCTGGGCAGAATAATAGCTTGGTTTTACAAATTACTGTATATACATTAATAGTTTCTGAAGCTGTGCAAGTAAAATACTACAAAACGTAGTTTATGGTTCTAACGAGATGACAGGCCAAAAAAAAAATGTTTGCCAAGTTATGATGTCACCTGCCAAGTTTGCACACGCATCATGGAAACACAACAGTGAAATTCAGATGACTGAGTTTAAACCCATGGATTCAAAGGCTGGATTAAATATGCTTTAATGCTGAATTTTTATTTGCCTCAAAAGGGCATGCAATCAATTTTAAACTTGTTACCAGAGGCCAATTTAATAGGAACCACAAATCAATTATAGTTTTTACACAACTCTAAAATATGTGGTAAATACAAGATGAACTGCAGATTTCCAGAGAGAGGGGGAGACCTAGCGACCTGTGGAATATTCTGAGGTTGTCAAGAAAAGAGGCATGGCTGAATTCTTTCTCCAGGTAGCTGTCTCAGGCCAATACAGTGACATCCAAGTGATACCCTTCTATATCCACTGAAGCCTACTGAGAGTCTCTTAAACCATGACTGTACAACTGAGTAGAGAATGAATCCAATGTAACTCAACACACATTCTAATATGCTCATAGTAGCATTAATCTCTCTCTCTCTCTCTCTCATGCATGCACGCACACACGCACACATACAGAGCTGCAAGACAGGTCAAACCACACCATTACGAACACAAAATAGACCTTTGAGAACAGTCCGAAGAGCATCTAATGGGAACATGATAGGCATGGAGCCACAAAATATCAGACCTCTTTGTGGTCCAGATTATCCTTCTTAGGGCTACCGTAACTCCTGGCTAGTTATTAATCTTTTGGAAGGGTGTGCCTTTTAAACCAGTGTAGTTGTTTCCCACGCAACAGGTACTTAACGCATATGCATCAGCGGGCATTTAACTACTGCTGCCCCCTTTTTGCATTGCTTCTCCCCTTTAGAAAGAAAGCCATGGCTAGCCAAATATTCCTTTCCACCGAATAAAGAGGAAGAGAGCTTTCAGTCATATTACAACACCTCAGTCTCTGCCCAGCAAGACAGAACTAGTTACTTTCTGCTCCAGAATCCTCCATCAAAAGAGAAGGCAAGACAGTATCTTAACAACTATCTAGTGAATGCTTAGTCATATTCAACGCACAACTTGCCAACTTGGAAAGACGCAAGTCGTACATGATGCAGGGAGATTATTGGTTTGCCAATATGGAACGGACAAGTTAGCATTGCCTCCCACTCATCAGTGACATTTGAAGCAGCTGGACAATTGAACCCAGTGTGCGGATTCTTCATAATAAGCGGTACAGTCCATATGACTAAGTGTTTACAATATGTCAATTACTCTCGACTCTTTCCAGGTTTTCCTGCAAGATCTGTCAAGCCATTGCTCTCCTCACTCTTCACAAGGGAATGCCCACCCCGTTTCCTGCCCATCTGGAATTCTGGTCCATTCTTCTCATGAAGAATGGGCCAGAACGAACCCCGCCCCCCCAAACCTCTGGCCTCTCTTGCTCCATCTCATCTCTGTAGGGTTTCCAAGCCTCCAGCATTCAATGGGGTCACATATGTAACATCAGGCCTGATTCTTAATAGCTGGGCAGCTAAATTCAAGTCCCGCAGCACCCTTAGAGACCAACAAGATTTTTTTAATGGGGGGGGGATAAGCTTTTGAGAGTCAAAGCTCCCTTCATCAGATGTCCTTTGCCTCTCGAAAGCTTAGAAGCTAAAATGACTAAACTGATGCTATCATACTTTGGTCACGTTATGAGAAGACTCGCTGGAAAAGATGCTAGGAAAAGCTGAGGCGGCAGGAAAAGAGGAAGAGTCAACATGAGATGGATTGGCTCAGTCGGGGATGCCACGGTCTTCAGTCTGCAAGACCTGAGCAAGGCTGTTAACGATAGGACGCTTTGGAGGGTATTAATTTATAGGGTCGTCATAAGACAGAAGTGACTTGATGGCACTTACACACAAAAAGGTGCTACAGGACTCAAATCTAGCTAGTCTACTGCAGATCAACACAGCTGCCGTCCACAACTATATTAATGGTTGGGGTCAGGGCTATTT